ACACACACACACACACACACACACACACACACACACACACACACACACCACAGAGGTACCACTGAGTATCACATACATCTTTTAACATTTTAGATGTTGTCATGACGTCAAAATGGAAGTACCCATGTGTTATGTCCTCTTTGGTTCTGTCATGTCACAATTGTATCAATAGGTCTGTGCCCAGATGTGAAGAAATACACTAATCTTACAGGTGTGAGATGAGATGTTGTTTTAATCCGAATTTTCTGTATGTACAGTTGGTATTGTTTTTGTCTGTCTGTGGACAGGGGCTTTCCCCTTCCACAAACTGTGTTCCTTCATCTGACTGTATCTGTCAGTGGGACCCCTTGACTTTTGCTTATTGACTTGTAAGCTTTGTACAGGTTTCCCATGTATTCTAGGTGCTGCTGTTTTTCCTTTCTCTTTCTCTTTCTCTTTCTTTTTCTCTTTCTCTTTCTCTTTCTGTTCTCTCTTCCTCTTCCTGTCTCCCCCAGTTTTCTCCCCTACACTCACACACACACACACACACACTTCTTTTTGTGACAAGGCCTTGCTTTGTAGTATGAACTGTCCTGGAACTCGTTAGTCAGACTGGCCTTGAACACACAGAACTTCCTTCTACCTCAGCCTGCCTGGTTTGGGAATTTCAGGTGTGCCTAATATGCTGTTCCTGTTCTATATTTATTTATGTGTGTGTGTTTGTACACTTACATGTGCTCATGTGCACACATGCCTGTAAAGGCCAGAGGTCAATATTGGATATATGCCTCAGTTAGTATCCACTTTTGTTTGTTTGCTTGTGTCTGTCTTTCTGTCTTTTTGGACACAGGGTTTTTCTGTGTAGCCCTGGCTGTCCTGGAACTCTGTAGACCAGGCTGGCCTCAAACTCATAGAGATCCACCTGTGTCTGCCTCTCCAGTGCTGGGATTAAAGGCGGGCGCCACTGCCACCACCTGGCTCCACCTTAGTTTTTGAGACAGGGTTTCTCTCTGTAACAGCCCTGACTGTCCTGGAACTCACTCTGTACACCAGGCTGGCTTCAAACTTACAGAGACCTGCCTTCCTCTGCCACCCAAGTGCTGGGATTAAAGACAGCCTGGCTTAAAACTTATCTATCTATCTATCTATCTATCTATCTATCTATCTATCTATCTATCTAGGGTTTTTTGAGATAGGGTTTCCCTGTGGCTTTGGAGGCTGTCCTGAAACTAGCTCTTGTAGACCAGGCTGGTCTCGAACTCACATAGATCCACCTGCCTCTGCCTCCCGAATGCTGGGATTAAAGGCGTGAGCCACCACCACCTGACAAAACTTATTTTTAATTATGTGTTTGTATGTGGGGATGCACATGTGAGTGCAGGTGCCTGAGGAGGCCAGATTTCCTCTGGAGCTGGAGTTACAGACAGTTAAGAGCTACCATGTATTGGGGTGCTGGGAATTGTACTTCCATCCTCTAGAAGAGCAACAAGTGTTTGTAACTGCTGAGCCTAGGTTTTAATGTAGCAGAAATATTTTTTTCTTTCCTTTATAATTTGTGTTTTATTGTATGCATCTTGTTTTTTTAGCCTTTCAGTACTTGGGAGGCAAAAGCAGAAGACTGTTGAGCTCAGGGCTATCCTGGGCTATATAGCAAGTTGTACTATTGCCTCTTTTAACTTGCTGTGACTGAGTGGGACCAGGTGGTGAACCCCTATAATCCTAGCACTTGGGAGGAGGAGACAGGAGGTTCAGCAGTTCAAGGCCATCCTCAGCCACGTACTGAGTTTAAGGCTATCTGTATATTAGACCTTGTCTTAAAAATCCACTAAGGGGCTGGAGAGAGGTTAAGAGCACTTGCTCTTCTTTGGGGGACCTAAGTTCAATTTCCAGCACCCACATCAGGCTCTCCTGCTCCTATGATTACTTTTGAGAAAAGCACTACCATACCATTTATTTATTTATTTACTCATGTATGTGGGTTTTTTGTTTTGTTTTGTTTTTTTTGGTTTTTCAAGACAGGGTTTCTCTGTGTAGCTTTGGAGCCTGTCCTGGCACTCGCTCTAGAGCCCAGGCTGGCCTCAAACTCACAGAGATCCGCCTGCCTCTGCCTCCCGAGTGCTGGGATTAAAGGTGTGTGCCCCCACCGCCCGGCTCATGTATGTGTTTATTTATGTATTTATTCTTGGTGCTGGAAATTGAACCTAGGTCCTCGTGTGTATTAGGCAAGCACTCTGCCTATGAGCTACACTCCCAAGTCCAGCTTTGTTAGTTTGAGTTTGTTTGAGACAGTCTCCTGTAGCCCAAAATGATCTTTAACTTCTGATGGAGCTGAGGATAGTATTATACTCCTAATCCTGCCACCTCTACCTCCTAAATGCTAGAATTACACTTAACCACTTGGGCTGTACATTAGTTTTTGTTTTAATTTTTTTGTTGGTTTATTGTTATTGTTTTGAGACCTGAGTGTTATTGTGTAGACCTAAGTGTCTTGGGACTCTCTGTAGACCAGACTGGTCTGGAACTCACAGAGATCTTCCTGCTTCTGCCTCCCAAGTCCTGAAGTAGAGGTGTGCACCACCTGCCCAGCATGCTTTATTTATTCATTTATTTACTTACTTATTATTATTATTGGTGGTGGTGGTAGTGGGGTGTGTGTGAGTGTGTGTGTGTGTGTGTGTGTGTGTGTGTGTGTGACATGTAAAGGTCAGAGGACAGGTTTTTGGAGTTGATAATGTCCAGGGTCTAGCTTTATGTAGGTTCCAAGGCCTGAACTCAGATCATCATCAGGCTTGCACTGCTCATACTGTCTCCAGGCAAGCACCTTTACACACTGAGCTGTCTTGCCTGCCCAGCAGTCGTTGAGAATTCTATTCCTGGGCTGGAGAGATGACTCAGTGGTGAAAGCACTTGCTGTCCTTCCAGAGGACCCAGTTTCACACCACTCCAGTTTTGTGAAATCAGATCGTCTCATCTGTGTTTTGCCTCTGGGCTTTTTACCTTTCTGTAGTCTATATATCTTTCTTTCATTCTTACTCAGAGGCTGGCTAGTGGCTGGTCCCTGGCATCCTCTTCTCCTTAGATTTCACCTCCTATTTATTCTCTCTGCATGCCAGCCCCGCCTAGCCTTTCTCCTGCCTAGCTATAGGCCATTCAGCTCTTTATTAGCTCAATCAGGTGTTTTAGGCAGGCAAAGTAAGGCAGCTTTACAGAGTTAAACAAATGCAACACATCTTTCCATCATTTAACAGATAATCCACAGCATAAACCAATTTAACAATCTTAACTAATATTCCACAACAACATGTAGGTAAGATCAACGTGCTTGGTTACTTCACTGAGTATAACCTTCCACGTGTCCTTCGTCACACATCTCTTGGTAGATTGATTCTATATATTAGTTATTGGGAATAGCCCTGCATATTCATTTCAGTTCTTCTGTGTACCCTGAAGTGGAATTGTAGGATTGTATGGCAATTCTACCCACTCCCTGCTGGGACTGCACCAAGGTATTTGTGCATGCCAAATCCCCATCTCTTGGTAGCATCTATTTATTTATTTATTTTCTAAGACAAGGTTTCTCTATATAATAGTCCTGGCTGGGGGCTGGAGAGATGGCTCAGAGGTTAAGAGCACTGGCTGCTCCTCCAGAGGTCCTGAGTTCAATTCCCAGCAACCACATGGTGGCTTACAACTATCTGTAATGAGATCTGGTGCCCTCTTCTGCATGCAGGCAGAACACTGTATACATAATAAATAAATCTTTTTTTAAAAAAATCTTCCCCTTATTTTTTATTAAAAAAAAAAAAAAAAAAAAGTCCTGGCTGTCCTAGTACTTGCTCTGTAGACCAGGCCTCAAACTCACAGAGATCCACCTGCCTCCTGAGTGCTGGGATTAAAGACATGGAATTAAAGACATGTACCACTATCACCTGGCGGTAGTTCTTTTTTTTTTTTCCTCTAAGGACTTTAGGTTTTGTTTTTTTCCAGGAACTACCCTGTTTCCATATAACTGCACTAATCTATATATTTCTTTCAACAACACACAAGAGTTCTCTTTTGTCGACATCTTCATCAATTCATACCTCTCATCTTTTCAGAGGTAGCCCAGGCTAGCCTATAACTTGCTTTGCTCTCCAGACTGTCTTTGAACTTCTAATCCCCCTGCTTCAATGGAGTTGGGATCACTCCATGTATGGCCAAGCCTGGCCCCTTCTTTTTCATGAAAGCCATTGTAACAGGTGTGAGGTGATACTCCTTATGGTATGGCTTTAGTGAATTAATAAAATCAGACTGTCAACAGAAGGTGAAAACCTGGGGCAGAAGAATAGGCATTTGCCTTCTGTCTCCTTTGCTTGGGAAGAAAGAGAGGAAGACCATACAGAGCACATGGCTGCCCAAGTTTCAGGTGGGTGGGAAGGAAGGGAGCGCACCACAGCTTTGGCTGATTTGTCTCCATCCCAGCTGTGCTGCAGCGTCGAGGGAGGCTTTTAGCCTTAGCTTGTGTGGCTGGCACAAAGCCCTTCACATGGATCAGTAGACAATTTTGATTCAAGTTGCATTATACACTGGCACTAAATTAAGATTCCATTTATGCAATGTTTCGCTTATAAAACTGGATGTTGCCTGGTGGTGGTGGTGGTGGCGCACGCCTTTAATCCCAGCACTCAGGAGGCAGAGGCAGGTGGATCTCAGTGAGTTCTATAGAGCGAGTTTCAGGACAGCCAGGACTGTTACAGAGAAACTCCGCCTCAAAAAACCAAAACCAAACAAACAAATGAGTAAATTAATAAATAAAACAGGTTGTTGTGGACAGATTTTTCTTTTTGGTTCATCACTCACAAAAAAGGACATAGAGAATTATCATTAATTATGAAAGCTTGGCCTTAGCTTAGGCTTTCTCCAGCCTAAGTCTTATAACTTAAATTAACCCATATCTTTTAATCTGTGTTCTTTTACATGGCTTGGTTACCTTTCCTCTGTACCGTCCACCCTGCTTCCTCTGCATCTCACTGGAAAAATTCCACTTTTCTTCCTCCCAGAGCTCTCTGTCCCCAGAAGTCCCACTAAACCTCTTCCCGCCTAGCTAATGGCCATTAACTCTTTCTTAAACCAGTCACAGTGATAATATCTTCAAACAGTGCAAAGGAATATTCCACAAGATGTAGACTCAGTGTTTGAAGTTTGCTATTATGTTCTTGTTTTTCAGTTAAATCCAGATGTGAATGTTTTTCAGAGGAAATTTGTGAATGAAGTTAGAAGATGTGAAGAAATGGATCGAAAGCTTCGTATGTACAATTTGGTCTTATCTGATACTCCTATAGTGAATCTCTTGTCTTAAATTAGAGTCATTAGCCCTCTCAGTAAAGGAATGAAATTATATGATAGAAAAGGCCAGGGAGGTGGCTCGACAGGTGAAAGCCCTTGCTATGCATGCCTGAAGATCTGGGTGCAATCCTCGGGATGCGTGTAAAAAGCCAGATATGGCTGCCAGTAGGGTTCTAGTTCCTTATCCAGCCTGTTGTCCCTTTGCAGTGTATTCAATAAGCAACAGTAAAGAAATAAAGAGAACCAGCCAGATGTGATGGTGTACATCTGAAACCTCAGCATTCCTACAGTGAGGTAGGAAGGAGAGGCTTGCAGGCCAGCTAGCCCAGAGTTCATGGGCAGCAGAAGCAAGGAACAAGCCCCTGCCTCAGCAGGGTGGGAGTCGAGAACCAGCTCCTGAAAGTTGTCCTTTGACCTCCACATGAACACCTGTACACACACACACACACACACACACACACACACACACACACACACACAGCATAAACTTGTTAAAAGATCTGAAAAAGGAAAAGGGGAAAAAATCTGCATCCATGACTTTGTTTGTTTGTTGTTGTTTTTTTTTGTTTTGTTTTTTTTTTTCCGAGACAGGGTTTTTCTGTGTAGCTTTGGAGCCTATCCTGGCACTCGCTCTGGAGACCAGGCTGGCCTTGAACTCACAGAGATCCGCCTGCCTCTGCCTCCTGAGTGCTGGGATTAAAGGCTGCATCCATGACTTTAAGATGAACTTCTTGTATATAAATAGATTTTTTTTTTCATTTTTTTATTAGAAAGAAAATTATTTTACATATCAATCCAGGTCCCTCTCTCTCCTCTCCTCCCCTGTGCCCCCCCCCTCAACTAACACTCTACCTGTCCCATACCCTTTCTGCTCCCCAGGGAGGGTGAGGCCTTCCATAGGGGGGTCTTCAGAGTCTGTCATACAGTCCGTGGGATAGGGGCTAGGCCAACCCCCTTGTGTCTAGGCTCAGGGAGTATCCCTCCATGTGGGATGGGCTCCTAAAGTCCATTCCTATGCTAGGGATAAGTACTGATCCACTACAAGAGGCCCCATAGATTTCCAAGCCTCCTCACTGACACCCACATTCCTGGGGTCTGGATCAGTACCCTGCTGGTTTCCCAGCTATTAGTCTGGGGATTCAAATAGATTTTATGGGGAAATCTTGTTCAAGCTGAGCAAGCTGAAAACACTGTGATTAATTTTTTTTATTAGATTTTTTTTTTTCTTTTACTCTTTGACACTTTGTAGCCCAGACTGACCTGGAACTCTTTGTTGCTACCCCAGGCAGTGATCCTCCTGCCATGGCTTTTGGAGTACTAGTTACCTATATCTGTCACTATGCTTTTAGATTCTCCTGAGTTTTTAACAGCAGAACCATGTTATACAACTCAAAAGATATGACCCAGAAAACTATCAAATTTAGATATCAGCTGAGCTGTCTTTTCATCTGAGCAGTTTATGAAAAATGGAACATTCATTAAGGCTTTACTGAAGGCTGGGGTACTAATAAGAGATTAAAACCTCTATTCATTCCCCATGACACACTTTTCAGGAGTGGTGGCATACATCTTTAATCCTAGCACTTAGAGGCAGACAATTCCTGTGAGTTCCACACCAGCTTGGTGTGCATAGACACTGTCTCAAAAAAAAAAAAAAAAAAAAAAAAATAGGTGTCACCCTCATGTAAGGACTGAGAAGCCTGTGACTTCCTTATATACCTAAGAATATAAACAGTTATAATGGAGCCAGCATTTGAAACTAGGTTGTTCTGTTAGGCTCCAAGTCCATAGATAAATTGGTTCCTATTCAAAACACACACAAAAAAAGTTGATAGTTGTCATGAAAACACTTTTCTCTTTTGGTGTTTTGGGACATTTTATGCTTAATTTTTGGCTTTTGATGTTTGAAAAAAATGATCCAACTGTTCCTAAATTAAATGAATCTTTTGGACTTAGAATTATCCCACTTATCTTATGTGTCAAATGACCTGTTAATGCTGTATTCTTCTGGAGCTTTGATTGACCAACAATACCTGCAAAGAGAGCTGTCAAACCTGAAGGAAGCTCATCACACAGGGTGGCGAGGTCAAGTGGCTGCAAGCCAGTTTTAAACTCAGAGACAGCCATACGTAGCAGTGCATGCCTGTAGTCACAGGTGGAAACTGGGAGAGAACTGGTAGTTCAAGGTCATCCTCAAAACAACAGCAAAGACCAGGAGAGAGAAAGGAAACAGTCCTGGGCTTTGGGATATATTTAGAGAGTGTCAAGTGCAAGAAAGAGAAGTCCAGAGAAAAGAGGTGCTTTTGTTTGCCAGTTCTTCCTGGGATGAAGCTCTTTTTAGTCAGGCATTGGATCTCTCTCTCTCTCTCTCTCTCTCTCTCTCTCTCTCTCTCTCTCTCTGTGTGTGTGTGTGTGTGTGTGTGTGTGTGTGTGTGTGTGTGTGTGTGTGTTTTCTCAAATAATGAGAACTCTAGCCATCTACATGTGAGTACTCTATCATTTTAGGATTTGTTGAGAAAGAGATAAGAAAAGCAAACATCCCAATTATGGACACTGGTGAAAACCCAGAGGTGCCCTTCCCCCGGGACATGATCGACTTAGAGGTAAACAATTCTCATATAACTTTCTACATAAATGCAGGTATTGCCTTTCTGAGTGGCTGGCACAGAGGAATTCTTGGCAACATTGTGAGCACTGTCTTTCATTGTAAATTTTTTCTAGGTGGGACTGAAGTGAATTCCCTCTTTTATAACGTCAAACAGTATATCACACAGAGATAGCATGTTATAATGTGCCAACAAATGAATGCTTATTGATTTGCTGGTCCCTTATTAGCTGATAACCCTACACACTAAATGAATTACCAATGAGCTTTTGTTTTTAAAGATTTTATTTATTATTTCTACAACATTCTGTTTCCATGTACATCTACATACCAGAAGAGGGCACCAGATCTCATAACGGATGGTTGTGAGCCACCATGTGGTTGCTGGGAACTGAACTCAGGACCTCTGGAAGAGCAGTCAGTGTTCTTAACCTCTGAGCCCCCTCCCCAGCCCCAAGCTTTTGATATTTTTGAGTGTCTGAATTCTCTCAAGAAACTCACTGAGTGAGTGTACAGTGGACTCTATAGACAAATAAAGGCTCATTTAAGCAAAATGTCTTGCTTACAGTTGCTCTTAAAATTCAAAGCATTGGCTTGGTAGCTGTAGCTAAATGTTACCATGGCAATAGTTCTGGGGTACAAATTCAGTTAATGTCCTTTAGAGCAAGCACAGGGAGCTCAATTTGAATTAACAGCTTTCTTGTTTTTAAACCCTAGGCCAATTTCGAGAAGATTGAAAATGAGCTGAAGGAAATCAATACAAACCAGGAAGCTCTGAAGAGAAACTTCCTGGAACTGACTGAATTAAAGTTTATACTTCGCAAAACTCAGCAGTTTTTTGATGAGGTCAGACTATTGTTTCTTCTAGTACTTGAGCAGCTGGTATACCTGCACAAGTGGGCCATATTTTTATTCCAATAATTATTTTAATTTGCTAGTTTGGAAGCAATGCCATTTTTGCACCCTGTTTTAGTTAAAGAGTGTCAGGTTGTGTTCCATTTTCCATGTAGTACACAGCCAGCCATGGTTTCATATATTTTCACAACTTCTGCAAACTTTCATCTCAAGGTGGGGGACAGAATCCAAAAGTTGATGTATAAGTATAGTTAGTTGAAATGTCTCTGTGACACTTCTAGTTATGTGTTATAAGGTAAGTACAGTATCCATGGAGTTGAAGAAGCAAGCATCTGTCTAGTTGTGTGCAAAATTACAGTGAGGTTTCAATCTCCAGACCTTTAGTCATCAAATTACTTTGTTCACCAACCCTTGGGAATTCTTCTCATCACTTAGAACTCATGTCAACACTGTTTTCCTGTGGTGATATTTTGTTTGTACTCTAACAAATAAAGCTTGTCTGAAGGTCAGAGAAGTAAACGAGTCAGCCACTAGAGAGACCTTTTACCTCTATGGAATCCTCAGACCAATGTGGGCAAGATCCTGTCTCCACAAATCCTCAGACTGAACGGTGCGAGCTCCTGTCTCCTCCCACCTTGTATTCCTCTCTCTGCCCAGCCGTATCCCTTCCTGTCTCCACCTCCCTAATGCTTTGCATTCTGATCTTCAGTGGCTTTATTAGGTCACAAACAATATATCACCACATTTTCCTGAGTTTTCATTGGGTCCTATGGAAGCATTGGTTTGATACTAGTTTGAATTTTCCCATAGACTCAAGCTTATTGCTTATAAGGAAAAATGTTAGTAAGTTTCCCCTGGTTAAATATAAAGGTACTGAATTGCCAAATGACAGTTTGCCAAGACCCCCACCCACCCACCCTGGAAGGA